GGGTTATAAGGATAAAAGATTTGGAAAAGTTGGAAGAAGGGAACAAGCACAAATATAATACATATGTACAAACGCAGTAAATGCGCAAAGAACATGTGGATACAAACGTCTGCATCTGTAAATAGCTATTGGTGATTGCAGAAGATGCTAACTGCAATGGCCCTTGAGGGAGTCCTTGGCAAACATGTAAGGGTGCCATGGGTGGACAATTGGGCTTCTGCGGGGTTTGGTTTGGATGACTCTTGCGAGAGTCGAGGCTCTGTTAGACGCCTTTTTGAGTTGGAGCCGTGTGAGGAGGTGCTTGGGGGTTGGTTAAAGCCTGTTGGGCTTTCTTGAGGTGGTATTTACTGAGACGTATATAAGATTTGAAAACTTCAGAAGACCAGCGACCAAGGGTCTGGATCTGATGGTGTGAGAGCCCGTTGTAGTGGCTGCGCCAATCCTGAATGAGTGGCTGGAAAAGGGCTCTGGGAAAAAACCTGATAGGCGAAAGATTTCTTTAAGGTGTTTTTGAAACCAGAATCGAGATACTGGACGGTTAGCGTCATCAGTAAAAAGCGGGGCCAGTGGGTTAGCCTCTTGAGATTTTCTAGGCTAAGAGGGTTTGGAATGGGCGTGTAGGTGAAGGAATATTGAAAATGAGGATAGAGTGTCCTCTCTGGAATTAATCTGTTTTGCTTTGTTTGATAAGGAAAGAGATAGTTTCCCTGTCTTGCAAAGCTAGATCTGAGATGGTGGGGTGGAGTAGAGGGTTAAATTTGGATGTAACTGTTAATTCAGAACATTTAAGAAACCCCCCAAAAAATGCTAGATTGAACATAGCATCTAAGGTGCGGGCTGTATGGGAGGAAATGTAACCTTTACAGAGGGTGTAGATGCATGAGGTAAGGATTTTGAGTGTAATGGGTTGTCTAGCATGGTATGGAATTGTTTGAACGAATTCCATGCTGTGAGGTAGGCATTGAGGGTTCTGGGAGCTATTGCTTGTAGGATAAGAGATAGAGAAGTTTGATGAAGATTATGAAGTGGGTGGTTTATGGAAATATCGTTACTGAATAAGGAGGGACCGGCGTTGGGTGAGGGTCTGCTTCCGGGGCTAGTTGCCAGAATATCTGCAAAGAGAAATGAGAGAGAGAGAGAGTCAGCGATTTGGTTTTTGCAACCAGGTACATGTTCAGCAATCATGATAAATTGTTTTTTAGCAGATATCCAGATAAGGTGTCTTAAAAATGGCATAAGCGATTGGGAGTGGGAGCGTCCTTTGTTAATGCAATGCACTGTAGCTTCGTTATCGCAGTGAAAGAGAATGCTAGATGTAGACCATTCGTCCCCCCACAGGATGGCTGCTGCGATGATAGGGTAGAATTTGAAGAGGGCTGAAAAACATTGGTCTTTGGAATGGAATTACAATTGGGTTGGCCATGTTGAGACAAACCAGTGTCCTTTATGTTAGCCACTGTAACCTATTGGAGGGGCAGCGTCTGTGTATGTGTTGATGTCAATAGGGGATGCAATCAAGTCGCTGTAGAAAAAGGAACAGCCGTTCCATTGCTTAAGGAAAGAGATCCATAAGCAAAGTTCATCGCGACTGGGTTTGGAGAGAAAAATTGTTTCTTCTAAACCATGAACTGTGGTGGATAATTGATGGAGGTGGGAAATGAAAGGAATAATGCGCATAGCGAAATTTAGATGGCCGAGAATTGGTAGGAGTTCTCGTTGTGTGCACATCTGTTTTTCAAGGAAAATTTGGGATAGAGAAATTATTCGATTGATTTTCTCTTTAGGAAGGGATGCTTGGAATTTATGCGAGTCTAGATTAATACCCAGAAATTCGATTGAAGTACTGGGTCCTTCCGAGATCAGCGAAAACCTGCTGGGTGATCGCTAGGTGTTTGGCTGGAGGAGATGACGGGGGGGAAATAAGAAAATCGTCTAGAAGGTGAATGAGGTATGGTATTTCGTAAATATTAGACAGAATCCAGCATAAAGCTTCTGACATTATGTCAAATATTTTTTGGGTTGCTTTTGCATCCGAAAAATAGAATTGATTTCGCCAATAAATGCCAAAAGGTGCCAGAAGTCTGGGTGGATTGGCATGATTTTAAAGGTAGGGGAAATGTCTTCTTTGGCTAGCCAGGTGTTACGACTGGCTATCTTTATGAGAGAGATCTCTTGATCAATGTCGTAGTAGTTAAGTAAATATTCGTCCAATGGAATAGTGCTGTTAATGCTAGGAAAGGAGCAATTGTGTTGGGACGAAAGGTCGACTACAAGGCGTTTTTGCCAGAACATTTTTGAGTAGCGACACCAATGGGGCTAATGCGCGAGATATTAAAAGGAGGAGCCTTGGAGTTCCAATCATGAAGTTGTTGTCGATTTCTTTTTAATAAGATAATCGACGGTTTCAGGTTCGGAGGTTGCAGACTGCAGGTTAGGACAGATTGGATAAAGTGAAAAATGGAATGTATCCTTTGTGAAGAGGATGTGGAGTGTAATAGGTTGGATGAGGGTCAGCTTCTGGAGCCAGCAGTCATGATCTCTAAAATAGAAAAAACAAAGAGAATCAGAAATTAAATCTTTGCAAAATAATACAAGTATGGCAGACATGAAAATTGTTTTAGTTTATATCCATGCGAGGCATCTTAATAAGGGCATGGGCGGCTGTAAATGGAAGCGCTTTTGATAATGCATGGTCCGATGACTTCATTGATACGATGTGCAAGGATGGTAGGGGTGGGTGTTCGTCTCCTAACGGGATGACAGATGAATGGAGAGCTGAGGACATGGGATATGGCTAGTCTGGTGGTCCTGGAAAACTGGTACCCCTTGAAGACTGAGCATGTGAAGTGATAGTGAAGTTTAAATTTGTATTTATAACAGTCAAGTGGGAAGTTTGTTTCTTTGCCGTTTTCACATCCGACTGACTTGCTATGTAATCTTATATGACGCTTGTAAATCAACACATGAGTCGCTGGCGTATTACAATTGGACTTCTGTGCTTGATGGCATAATGTTTTTCAATAGCTTGTTAATATATTTACTGGTTGGGTAATAATCTTTTCAGAAGTTAAATGTCAAATGGATTTTTTTTTTTTTTTTTTTTTTTTTTTTTTTTTAACTAAATTTACAAGCTTGTCTGGCCTATTCATTCATAAGGTCTTTGCAACAGAGTCAAGAGAGAGGGCGGGACCATCTCCAGTCTTTTAGCTCATTGGATGGAGACGCTTATCTTTACAGCTATTGGCTTAAGGAGTTTCAGTCGGGCCATGCAAAAGGTGCAAAAAGCCTGGCGGCCATTTTGTTGATCAAATTCAACATTGTTTGTGGCTGGAGCTGCTGCTCTGCTGAACACATTCCAGCAAACAATCTGTTAAACGATGGATAGCATGTGTACTGCTAGGAGAAGGTGAGGGTTCCGTTTTATTGCAATAGCTTTGGAGTTTGGCTTATATCTTGCTGGGAAATAAGGTTGAAGACACAGCAGATGCGTTGTGGAGGCTCTTTGAAGTGGAAGGTTTTGGAGTTGTTGTTTAAGCTGTTGATGAAATTGTTGGAGTTGTAGTTGTTTGAAATGGTAGCAATAGTAGTTGTTGTTGTTGTTGCTGTAGCTTGTATATTGTAGCTTGTAGATTGAAGCTTTTAGATTGTATATTGTAGATTGTAGCTTGAAGCTTTTGTAGCTTGTAGCACTTGTAGCTTTTGTAGTTGATGAGCAGAGCAGAGCGTTCTTCCAAATGAAGATCCTGAAGATTGTAGCTTGTTGCTGCTTTAGTTGTCCATGCTGGTTTAGAGTTGGTTCTTCAACGGAGCTAGCTACGGTGAAGCTGCTTCTTCCAAACGAAGATAAAGTGAACTGGAAACTTAGACTATTTATGGTGCCTTAGGGCTCATATGATTGGAAGATTAGTGATTAGCAAATGCGAGACTGGACGTGATAAATCATAAGCACGTGATCCTCTCGAAATTAGTTTATGAATAAACTTCACTTATCGTGTCGGCGTCTTCGGAGTCGGTCAATAAATCTGATCTTCCTGTTTACATGATAGTCGCATTGTCACCTATCTGATTTATATCTGATTTATTTCTACATATGAAGGAGGCCTGAAACTGATCTCTATATATCCGAATGCATGCGTGTTTACACGGTCATAGAACAGATCCGATCTGCGTCACATATAAGCAACAAATCAGAATTGGGTCACATTTAACTGGCAGTGTAAACAGGGCCTTAGTCTTGTTAGTTTGCTTTTGTGTTGGCTTAAGATGGAGAAAATTAAAAAATATTAGTTAATTATTCTTAAAAATGCAGTAAATAATTTTATTGATTAACTTGTTAAATTAGCAAAGGTGTTGTTTAATAGAGATAAGTATGAAGGTATGAACCAGGTAATCAAAGCAAATGAGAAAGTCCCTATTAACTCAGCATGAAAATCGCAGTGAGGAATGCTACCGTACAGGTGGACTTGTACAAAGGCTGGATCTAAAGCAAATACGGCTTTTATTTACACGTCATTCGAATCTTTTCATGAGATGACATTTAGACAAGTTGAAACTGTCACATAAACATATTAAAACATGCCAGTAGTTTACAGTCACTGCCAACGTACTGTAGGCATCTTGCCAGGAGCCTAGATTTAGCATGGACAGAGGGGATGTGTCCCTATCAATAATCATCAACTATTGACATGTCCCCACAAATAATTTAATTCATTCATTTATTTTCTTTTCGGCTTAGTCCCTTTATTAATCCAGGGTCACCACAGCGGAATGAACCGTCAACTTATCCAGCACATGTTTTACGCAGCGGATGACCTTCCAGCTGCAACCCATCTCTGGGAAACATCCACACACTCTGATTCACACACATATACTACGGAAAATTTAGCTTACCCAATTCACCTATAGCACATCTGTTTGGACTTGATGAGGAAACCCACGTGAGCACAGGGAGAACACGCAAACTCCACACAGAAATGCCAACTGACCCAGCCGAGGCTCAAACCAGCGACCTTCTTACTGTGAGGCAATCGTTCTACCCACTGTGATTCCCAAAATTTACAAGTTAAAATATAATAACGTGGACATAATTAGTAAAACGTAACTAAAAGAAGCATGGCGTCCAGAGTTCATCAAACCACAGTTCAGGTCACTTCTTGTCCCGGTGCTGTTCAGCACAAACACAGTTTCACACCACAGATCTTTCTCATAGGTTCTGTTTTTCACAGCAGCGACATTAAACGTCTCGTACGGAGGAATGAGCACCTCTTTCTCCTCAGGATACTTTGAGTACTTCGTCAGATTCGCACCTTCACAAGTGTAGATCTCAAAACAAGACACGTTTCCGAAAGCCTGAATTACTGTTCGATTAAGAGACGAGGATGAAAACGAGCTCAAGCGAACCTCTCTGCTCTGAGCCTCAAACTGGAGATTTGTCCCACGATACGTTAGAAAGCATCTAGGCTGTGTTTTCTTCAGAATCTGAACGGCTTCTGTTAGCAGATAGTGAAGAGAATACCATTTAAACGTCCCGCTTATATAAGTCTGTTTCTCAGTGCGAGTGGCTTTAGTGAAATCACTGTACACACTTGAATCTTTGTTAGTATAAACATAAAGAGCGACCGAATGACTCATTGTCAAGTTATCTTCAGGTTTCTTTGCATTCGCTTCTGCATCCTGCCAAGTTTTATTAAACTCAGCTGAAGCAGATCTTTCCTTCGGTAGATAGTAATTCTCTGTCTTGTTCGTCATTGTCTGTGTACATCCCTTATACTGATCATCAACTGAATTCAGAGCCATGTCCAGTGGATATATTGTTCTTACAGGAGCAGCTGATGTGTGATCCTGCAGTGACAGGAATCATCATGATCAGATCATCAGTGTTGATGTGTGTAATAATATTCATACTAGAACACAAGCTCACCTGTAGAGCAGCTACAATGAGGAGAAGAGCTTCAATCGTCATCTTCATTCAGTCTGGAGAATACAGAGAAGATGATTAAAGAGAAAAAAAAGTCACTGAAATTAGAGTTTAAGCATGGATTCAAACTATTTTGTTGATGTATTACTTTAAAAGCACTCTTACCTGAGAGTACCGTTGTCTCTAGTCTTTCTTTTTTTCAGGAGAAGATCAGAAAAGTCAGACGCTCGCAGCCTGACGACAACAACTGTACAAATCTACAGATGGGAAGGTGTGTTTTGTACATTGCAATTCATCCATGTCTGTGTGTGTGTGGGTGAGAGAGAAAGAGGGAAAGAGAGAGAGAGAGTTTCCGTAGAAGCAATAAATGATCCATTACTATACATTGTTTGTCTCAGTTTGTAAAGTTGAGACAATACTTGAACTTCAAATATTTTAATATAATGAGGTTTCAATATTGTCCTAACTTAACAAATTATTATTTTTTTCTTATAGTGTGTACACTCTCAGAAATAAAGGTACAAAATCTGTCACTAGGGCAGTACATTTTCAAAAGGTACATTTTTGTTCCTAACACATCCTTAAAGAAAGATATTAATACATAGAAAGCATAAATGTGTACCTCACAGTACTTTAAAGGTACAAACGTGAACCTTGAATGTACAAAAGTGTTCCCAAAAGGGGTAACACTTTACAATAACAGTACAAGAATAATGAGGTATTAATATGTAAACTAAACATTAGTTTACTATGATTTAAGGTATGCACTAATCATGAATTAACTTTAACTACAACATGATTCACATGAGTTCAACCCAGGTTCATCGTGGAAACGTAGTCCCGCAGACGTTTCTGGAGATCGCGCAATACGTCCAGGGAGGTACGTATTTGTGCAGTTTTTGTATTCGCAAATCCGCATGCCGTTTGCGACCGCGTTGTTCTCGCGCGAAAAGCCACCAGAGGCTGCTGTCAAGCGACCGACTGGCCGAGTGACTGAACGATTTACTGGGCAATCGGCCGCCCCCGGCCACCCTCCTCCTCCTTCCCTAAACCCAAGTGACGGTTAACAAAAGCCGTCCAGAAAAGCAAAAGTCCTTGTCCCATTTTGACCGAGTTTTTGATTTCGCCGCATTCTTGCTCCATCACGAACTCGTTCACTTTCAATTTATTGAATTCTGTTTTTCATCTTACCTGATTTCTGGAACCTTTCTTCCCCGGACCCGAACCCGGTCGTCGCCGTGGGTGGCTCCTCCTCCTCCGCTCCGCCGACGTAACACCATGAGCTAAGCGGACAAACTGGTTGCGGCGGGAAAGCTCTTCACACGGAGGTGAGCGAGAGAAAAAAACAATTGCGGCCATACGTACCTCCGCCCACATAAATCGCGGTCTCCAGAAACGTCCACGTTTTCAGAATGAGCTTGGGTTGCTTGAGTTCATGTGTGAAAAACAGCTACCTTAATTACTTGTTAGTACATGTTGTTAATTAATGTATTTATTAACAATTAAGTCTAAGCTAAATGTACCCAACATGAACTCATGAGCTGTTAATGTATAGGTATGTCATGACTACCTGCAGGAGTAGCCATAAAGGGCCAGAGAAATGTGGATTTTGAATATGACTATATGAAAGCCACATTTCAAGCATTTGTAAACTGGAATGGGCAGTGGTCGAAGGCCAGTGCCATGAAGACTCTTGGATACAGAAACATGTTGTTGGGACATGGAATGTCCCCTCACTGGTAACCTGACCAAGAAATAGTCGGGTTCACCTCCATGCACAATTTGGGCTCTAGAAAACAGCTGGACTGTCTTCTACTCTGGATTTGCTCGTAGAGGGATGGTGTAAGCTTGCTTATAGCTTTTACAGCTCAGCTGCAATGTGTCAGAGTTTTCCCCGGGATTTTTCGGGAGAGTTACTGTGTGGAGAAGCCTCAGAGAAATGTACCGCCCAGACTGTTGCATGCCCAGAGTGAAGCATGGGGGTGAATCAGTGATGGTTTGGGCTGCAGTATCATGGCATTCCCTAGCCCCAATACTTGTGCTAGATGGGCACCGGGTCACTGCCAAGGACTACCGAACCATTGTGGAGGACCATGTGCACCCAATGGTCCAAACATTATATTCTGAAGGCAGTGCTGTGTATCAGGATAATAATGCACCAATATACACAGCTCAGGCACCTCAGGAATGGGAAACAGTGCTTCACTAACACTGCTTATAGTGGAACTGGGAAGCTGTTGACCTCGACTAAGAATGTCGTCAGACAGTGTAAGGAATACTTTGCATGTGACCATCCAACCATGGTTGCAAAGTGTCACAATGCCTTGCAAGCATTTTTTTGTTTTGTTTTTAAAAGAAGTCTAATAGATGTCTAATAGAGTCTGTCATCTAGGCCAAAAAAAAGGCTAAACTTTCAGTGAAAATCTAATAGCCCAAAACTAGACTAGTCATCAAGTAGACAGATTACACAGACTTTACATGTGTAGCTATTTCTTTCTTTCGTTTATTTGATGACTGGTCTAGTTTTGGGCTATTCTTAGATGTTCATTAGATTTGAAAGCCAAAGTTTAGCCTTGTTTTAGCCAAGTTGGCTACGTTAAGATGTCTATTAGACGTCTATTACACAAAATTGTTTGCTGGGTGGTTATATTGATGGAAGTTGGAAAGTTTTCAGGTGCTCTGTAATATCTTTGCGCCTGCTGCAGCCATGGTATATCATTCATAAAAAGTCGTGAATTGTAGTGAGACTGCCTTTGAAAAATCTCTATTTAAGGATGAAAGTGTAACCCCAAAATATTGTATTTTGCTTCAATATTTATACTCTGCTTGATACTTTAAATTGTAATAAATATTTATAATTTAACTCTTATATATTTTTTAATAAGGGCACAAATATTCTTTTTTTTTTACATTTAGAATCTCTGAAAAAACGTATTAAAAATATTTAACTAGACTCCCGCCTTTACTTTCAAAATGTATACAATCACTTTTAATTGTAATTTTAAATTGAATGTCTTGTTTAGAAACCAAATATACACTGGATATGTCGGAAAACCTGCCTGCCAATGAAACAGTTGGAGAGAGTTCACACTTGAGTAATAGCATTTGTTTGGCGTATTTCTTTTTATGAAGGTCAAAACAAGATGAACTTGATGAAAAAGATTAACTCCAGGTTCCAAGGATATCAGGAACCAAGTTTCTGAGGTATAAATCATCTTTCAGTTAGTTTCGCGTGAAAAAGGTTGACTGTATCACAACCATACATTTCAAAAGTCTAAACAAGTTTTATTTTCATGTGGATCATAGACCATTTATGTAATAATGGATCAACAAAAGCTGAAGTGAAATTTGAAATGTTGCTGAGGTTTCAGTGTTGGAGAAACTGATTTTGTGAATATGATTTTTTTCAGTGCCTGCTGCAATCTTCAGATCATTTTACTTAAAGCTGTAATGTGAATACATTACTAAAAAGAAGACCAATTTAAAGCTACCTAAAACCAAGATCTGGACAAGATCTACAGGTTGTTATGACCCAGTCAAGAAACTGCAAATTAATTATCACATACAATCTAACAACACAAAATACATTAGCTTTCACTTATGAGCTGAATCTTTTCTCTGCAAATATAATTGGCAATCGAATGTTTCCTTGTCAAGTTATCCCCAGATTTCTTTGTATTTTCTTCTTTTTGACAAGCCTGATTAAACTAAGCAAAGGCAGATCTTTTCCTAAAGTTCTTTTACTTCTAACTGCTAGAACTATTTGCCATATCCAGTGTTTAATATTCACGAGAACACAAGCTCACCTGTAGTGCAGCTAAAATGAGAAGAAGAATGAGAAGAAAATGTTCGTTCAGTCCAATGATCTAGAAGATACAGTAAAGAGCAGATGATGAAAGATAAAAAAGCAACAGCTTCTCACAAATATGAAGCTCTTGCAATTCGAATATACAGGCCTAGATTTGCACATTAAAATTGCATTCATCAGCACTAATGTACATGTTTTACTGATCTTTTACTTAAAACCAAACTTACCTGAGAATACTGTTGTCTTCAATTGACGGATTATGTGTTTTCTTTATTGTATAATTTGGAGGGAAGATCAGAAAAGTTAGTTACATTTTTAATATTTTTAATCATCTGTGTGTGTGTGTGTGTGTGTGAGAGAGAGAGAGAGAGAGAGAAAGAGAGAGAGAGAGAGAGAGAGAGAGAGAGAGAGAGAGAGAGATGAAAGATTCCATTGTTTGCCTGAATTTGTAATGTAAGGTACCACCCACCGGCTCAGCAGTGGAATCCAGCGCCGTGGGTGAAGGTGACTTGTGTGTCTTTCCTCGCACTTCTGTGAAATGTCACTTGGTCTATTGAAGTTTTGGTTTCCAATTGATATGGACTCCTTCATTGTTTTTGATCTGAATTTTAAGTGGCTGGGCCTCAGGAAGGGGAAGCAGATATTCACCAATGCTGCTTGTAGTGGAAGTCGGAACTAAGCGTGTTGTCAGATGATGCAAGGAAGGATTTGAGAATCTCCTTAATCCCACTGACTTGCCCTCCTTTGAAGAAGCAGAGACAGGGAAAACAGGGGTTGACAGCGGGACAGTGGCAAGACAGCAGGGGAGGATGAGATCTGAGTACCTCAAGTCTCTAGATGTGATGGGACTGTCTTGGCTGACATGACCCTACAACACCACATGGAGGTCAGGGACATAGGTTGTGCTCGCTATTTTTAAAAAGGGAGACTTAAGAGTGCATGCCAACTATAGGGGGATCATAGTCCTTAGCGTTCCCGGAAAAGTTCATGCCAGATTTCTTTAGAGGAGAATCCAGCCAATAGTGTCCTTGGATTCAGGAGATATTTTTGGACAAAGTTGGATACAGTTCTTTGTCCAGCAAGAGCAGGGCTGCTCAACCCTGTTCCTGGAGATCTACCTTCCTGCAAAGTTCAGCTCCAACCCTGATCAAACACACCTGAACCAATTAAACAGGACCTGAACAACACTTGATAATTACAGCCAGGTGTGTTTAATATGGGTTGCAACTGAAATCTA